TAGTAAGAGAACAATAATACTAGAATAGGCTCTTCATTTATGTCATTCACATAATCTGAATTATTCTACACAAAATTAATATTATATTAACGTAAGTAAAATAAGCGAAGTATCTATACTAAAATTCTTCGCTATTCACATATATTTCATTTCTGTGGGACTCATTCGTCATTTCTAATCTTTGATATTTACTCCTTCTAACCTCATTTTTTGCAATCTTTGTGATAGTATCATACATGCTGTAAATGATTTAAATTCTTCTAGTTTTTTTTTTCTTTGCTCTACATTTCCGTACGCGTTCACAACTTTCACACATATTTAATTATTAACAATTTTACATATAACATAAAAATATATTCAGTTATACACGTATCGCAATAATATATGCGTATACACATGACATGAGCACTGCATAACTATAACTGGTAGAAAACTGGACAATTACATTTTTAGTATTAATACAAAATCTCTTATACAGAATTGATCCAGATATTGCCTAGTAAAACGGCTTTAACTAATTTTGCCCAGTTGCTATGTAGTATTTTTGTATTATAAAGAGAAATCAGTAGTAGGGGAGATCGGGGCTGATTGTCGTACGGAGTTGATTGTCAAAATGCTTATAACTCAAACAAGACACGGCAGAAAAATCTCTTTTTTTGACTGTAGATAGCTGATATAATATTAATTTGTTGTGTAAAATGGTTTGTATCACAAGTATTGTATATATTATTTATAGTAATTTTTGAGAAAATGAAGTTGATGAATAAATTTTTATAATCACTTATTTTGTTGTCTGACAAGTCTTTGGCATTATTAATCGTAATATCCCTGTATTCATAGAAAATGGCATATTTTAGAAGATCTTTGCTACAATTAAATAATCATTATTCTGACTAAGTTTGTGAATACAATCTCTTTTATTAAAAATGATTATGTGGAGTAGATTGACCAAAACGAGACGAGATTAGGTAACAATTAATTTTAATATCTTTAGAGGACACATTTTCAGAGAATATACTTACAAATATATTATATTTCATATAGATATATATTTTTTCATTTTTCATATAGAAACTATGGTACAAAAACAAATTACGTATTTTATGATTAAAATAACTATTTTATTTGTATTAATACTATAATTACTATTATTTCTCAAAATATAGAACTGATATTAAAATAAAAATTGTGTTTTTTATATGTGTTGTCCATAACAAATATGCTACTGCCAATCCTAGAACGTGACAATCGGCCCTGGTCTCCCCTACTAGATAATATATAACTTACTGGGTGCTCAATCAAACTGCACAAATTTCTTGCACCAGGGATAATTTAACTTGACTATAATTTTTGTAACACTGTACAAGCACAGGCACGACTATTGCACGAAGACAGTGCCAGGAAAATGAAGTGTGGAGCACTTGTGGATCGGCGTGTCCACCATCTTGTAAATTGCCTAATCCAGTCTGCATATTAGTATGTATTATTTAATTTGCTAAATACGCTAATTCCATTGAAAATTTTATATCTTTTCAAGCGATTAACTAGAACAGCGATTAGTAGAACATTAACCTAATCATATATGTATATTACAATAAATTTTGATATTTTACGATATTATTCTTTTTTCAGCAATGCATGATAGGATGCCAATGTCGAACTGGATATTTGTTAAATTCTTTAGGAGAATGTGTGCTCCCTTTAAACTGTTGGAAAGCATAGCATAATATGTATAGCATAATTATTGTTGCTTATATAATTACTAATTAATGACAAATAATAAATTAAGATTTTATTATTATAAATATTTATCTCTTTATTAATATTGGATATCTATATTTTTATAAATTTAAAATAATTAAAAATAAAAATCACAGAATAATGATCTTTCTAAATATAAATAGGAAATAATTATGTATATCCCATAAATTAATTTTACAACAAAAAAAAACAATAAATTATCCGTTTTTTGGAGATAAATAATATTATGTAACTATAAATAATATTATGTAAATATGTTGTTAAGTAAGTGTAAACAATAAATAAACTCTGTAGATCCGAATAAAATAATTTTTATTAATAACAACTAATATAAATAAACAATAAAAATGTGGTTCAAAATGAAATAGATTAAATAGAACGTTATAAAGACAACTTTCATATGTAGGTTTATAGTTTATTTAAAATATAAATATTAAAACATATTTGTAAAAATGCGAGTGCAATACATCCTTAAACTCACAACTCGCAATACTTTTGAACAGATATTTTTAACCGAACGATGGTTTCGAAAACTAAAAATATGTAAAAAAGAAACTTGTAGCTCAATCGATGAAAACACCGACTCGGCTGACAATAACAACACGTTTCGAGCTAGAAATTAAGGCTCTCTTTTCCCTTCCTTGCTTTCTCATTGTAACGTTTATTACTACTCGCGCGCCGATATTCTCCAATTCCCTTTATCGGATTCATGAAATTTTGAAGCAGTGTGCGCGATATGCATCGAGCGGGTACTGCAAACCAGACAACCGGGCAGACAGGTACCATTGCCTCAATATGCGTGGTGATTCGTGCTGGACGCATGCTGCATACTGTGTATACAGCGGGGCCAGCGAGAGAGCTGAGAGCGGGGCCTAGCCTCCTGGTGATGTGGTACGGTGTGTCTGCGCGAGCAGAGAGAAACCCGTTTACCTTTAAACTGCTGCTCTTGCAGTAGCGGTGATGGGCAGCGACGACGACGATGACGGTGGTGGGATGGCAATGGTTCTCTCTTTCTCTATTCCCTCGAGAGATACGGAGGTCAGGAAGTGATAAAAGCAAAAACCGAGACGAAACAAAGCCAAAGGAAAACTGGTATGAGTTTACTTGCGTGTACGCTCCGGATTAGCGTTTAGACTTTAGTTAGATTTTAGTGGTGACTAATGGCCACTGATTTTTTAAAAATGGCATTGGTGGTCATTGATGACTAATATGTTACAAAATCTTTAAAACTTGTAAAAAAATAAATGCTACATAGTATAAAATTCTGAATGACAAATAGATAATAAGTTTATTTTTCATTTTTGCACTAGATTGTACTAGAACTTTTTTTCTCACTTTAGCCAAATATCAAATATATAATTATTTTACTTTAAGTTCGATATTCTCCAATTCCCTTTATCGGATTCATGAAATTTTGAAGCAGCGTGCGCGATATGCATCGAGCGGGTACTGCAAACCAGACAACCGGGCAGACAGGTACCGTTGCCTCAATATGCGTGGTGATTCGTGCTGGACGCATGCTGCATACTGTGTATACAGTGGGGGGGGCCAGCGAGAGAGCTGAGAGCGGGGCCTAGCCTCCTGGTGATGTGGTACGGTATGTCTGCGCGAGCAGAGAGAAACCCGTTTACCTTTAAACTGCTGCTCTTGCAGTAGCGGTGACCCCGGATCTACAATAGGGTTTTAAGCCTTAAGCCATAAGAAATGGGCGAATCACAGTCGCTTATTCTTCTCGGATTCGACTGTAATTGGTCAGTTTCTTACGACATAAGGTATAAAACACCTATTGTAGATCCGGACTGATGGGCAGCGACGACGACGATGACGGTGGTGGGATGGCAATGGTTCTCTCTTTCTCTATTCCCTCGAGAGATACGGAGGTCAGGAAGTGATAAAAGCAAAAACCGAGACGAAACAAAGCCAAAGGAAAACTGGTATGAGTTTACTTGCGTGTACGCTCCGGATTAGCGTTTAGACTTTAGTTAGATTTTAGTGGTGACTAATGGCCACTGATTTTTTAAAAATGGCATTGGTGGTCATTGATGACTAATATGTTACAAAATCTTTAAAACTTGTAAAAAAATAAATGCTACATAGTATAAAATTCTGAATGACAAATAGATAATAAGTTTATTTTTCATTTTTGCACTAGATTGTACTAGAATTTTTTTTCTCACTTTAGCCAAATATCAAATATATAACTATTTTACTTTAAGTTCCAAAAGTGCACACTAATTCAGCTATAAAAAACAAACTTTATGTAAAAACAAATTAAAAAGTATGCTATTCAACGCAATACCTACGAGGATATTTTATTTAATCACATTACACAATATTTCATCATTATATGCTTATGATGATAAAAATTCTACCGTAGCGTATGCGATAAAACGTAAAAAAAACTCACTGGACAGATAATGTGTTAACGTTTACGACTTGAATTTTATCTTAAGGGCTTAGATAACGCATTTTATGCAGCAGCCTGGATTCGATATAAGGACGAGGCGCACCATATGCAATGAGCCAGACCAACCAAAGATTTAATGATTCTTCGCTTTTTTGTGGAATACGAAACGCTCTTTGTGTAAAATATTCCACAAAATGGCACAAAACAGCATTTTGCAAAGGAAAAACCATTCAATTTCGTTTCAAAAATATACAGTCAAAATGTATAGCAACGAGAGCGTTTGACAGAGAAAGAAACTATTGACGAATGCGAGACGAATGCGTGGTAAATTTGTAGGAATTAAGCATTTTGTTTGAATGTAATTTCAAGTAACTATGCTAATATCTTATTCAACTTATAATTGTTTTTATCTTTTATATTTCAGTGATACGTTAATCTAGCCCGTATCCAGAGATGTCAATTCTGTTAAGCTGGAAACACAATAGACATAGGCAACAAAGAATAACGAGCCGTCCAATCAGAGCTTTGGGGTATAAGTTCGATATTATATTCTAGAGCTCTGATTGGACGGCT